TTCGGTGGACACAACATCTTTGTTTGTATGTGGTGCTGAGGATCGAACCCGGGCCGCACGCATGCCAGGCGAGCGCGCTACTGCTTGAGCCACATCCCCAGCCCCAAAGCTTTTCCATTTAAAGCTTTTCTTGTTCTGAAAATCTTAAAACAGCCTGGGTCACAAAAACAGATGGGCACAATAATGCACGTCTGCAATATCAATGACTCAGGAGGCTGAGGCAAGAGCATCGTGAGTTTAAGGCCAGCCTCAGCAACTTAGCCAGACCTGTCTCAAAGAAGAAAAAAAAAAAAGGTCTTATTGTGACCCAACCAGTTTAAATGACCAGCTCAAGAGCAGTCAAGCTTCTTAGCTCTACAAATTCCCTCCAAGGATGGAAAAGCTCTTAAGATTCCAGAGAATTATATTTGGAGCAATGAATGCAGGATTCAGCCACCAAGGCCACTTGCCCCAGGTCCACTCAGGGTAGCAGCTGTGAATAGTCAGGCAAACCTCAAGACATGGTAACAATGGACCCTGTGCCTGCTGTGTCACTTACCTGGGGTCCTCAGGTTTAGCTTGGCCTTCCTTTTCAAGTCATTACAACTGACACTTCAGCGCCAGCCCCCGCCAAAATCAACCCAAGTGAAGTAACAGGACTCTGTCCTCCAGGCAGAGGGCAGACACTAACTACATGCCAGACACTAGCTAAGCAAGGGGGATACAGGGACAAATGAGATAGTCCTCTTCAGGCAGCACACAGACTAGTGGGGACCAACAGCCCACATACCACTAAATAAGTCATAAGAAAGTTCACCAGGCTCATGCTATGAAGGAAACAAAACAGGGCAAGGGGACAAAGAGACTTGGGGGGTAGGTTGCAGGGACTGTCACCCTGAGGGTAATTGACGAAGGCCTCCTTGAAAGGGGACATTTAAGCTAAAATGTGACGATGAAATACAGCCAATTATTCACAGATCTGCAGGAAGAACATTCCAGAAAGAAAGGACAACAAGTGCCAATGTGCAGATAAGGGAGCAAGCCTTATCTTCGTGTGGGCTTTCCCTGGCTGTGACGAAGCACCTGAGATGATCAACTTATAAGGAGAAAGACTTATTTTGACTCATGGTGTCAGGCCATGATGCTTGGCCCCATTGCCTTTGAGCCTTGGCCAGGCAGAACATCAGCAAGGAGCATGGAGCAGAGCAAAGCTGCTTACCTCCTGGTGGTAGGAAGACGGAGGGACAGGAGGGGCCAACATCCCCTTCAGGGACACACCCCCGTGACCTCTTTCATCCCACCAGGCCCCACCTTCTGAAGATGGCACCAGCTCCCAATAGCACCATCAGCTGGGGACCAAGCCTTCAACTCATGGCCTCTGGGGGACATTTCAGGTCCAAAACCGACGTCTTAGAAGGACAGAAGAAAGGCAGGTGTGGGTGGAGCAGAGCAGGGGAGAGGGAGAGGGGGTAGAGCCGGGCCAGGCCGGGTGGACTCCTGCCCTTGAGGGCTGAGGAAGGTCATAAGCAGAGGGTGATCAGCTCTCTGCTTTGAAAAGGTCATTATGGCTGCTCTCAGGAGAAGGACTAAGGGGCAGAGAACGAATGAGGGAGAACAGGCAGGGGGCGGGATGGAGGCCTGATGAGGCTGGGATCCCTGGAGATGACGAGACACCACGGGATTTGGGACATATTCTGGAGAGAGGGCAGGCAGGACCCTAGAATAAGGGTAACAAGTCCAGCATCTAAAACTACTCACTGTCCTTGTGTAAGTGACTCTCTGAGTGGGTACACACACACACACACACACACACACACACACACACACACACACCATCTTTCTTACACAAACCGGGCAGGGTAGTGGTTCAGACTCCAGAACCAAACTGGAATTCCTGGGCCTACCAGCCACAATCCTTGGTGCCAGTGGCTGAGCCTATCGATACCTTGGGTTCCTCATCTGTAAGATGGGGCAATGACAGAAACACCCTTGTAGGGACTGAATTAGCGACCACCTGTAAACCACTCAGGGGAGAGCACCTGCCACAGAGCAACCTATTGCTGTTGTACACAAATCACCACAAACTTAGTGGCTTAACTTTAAACAATACAGATTTATTCCTCTACAGTTTGGGGGGCCGAAAGTACAAAGTCAGTTCCACAGATGTCGGGGGCTGGCTCCTTTTGGAGGCTCCAGGTTCTGGAGGCTGCAGCCTTCTTGACTCCTGGCCGTGCTGCTCCAACCTCCACTTCCGGAGGCACTTTGCCTTCTCCCCTTCTGACCTCCTCCTCCCTCGTAGGAGGGCCCTTGTGATTGTATTTGGAGCCCACTGGATAATCCAGAATAATCTCTCCACCGCTAATTCCTTAACTTAATCCCACGTGCAGCATCATTTGCCACAGAAGGCGTATTCACAGGTTCTGGAAATTAGGATATGGACGTCTTTGGGGGCCTTCTGTCCCCCGAACACAGTAAGCAATAAATAAAGGTTGATTGCCATGATTATCATTACCATTACTGTTCCCATGGCCACCCCAGAGCCTATCCTCACCCCTCTCCCAGTCTGTGTGGGAGAGGAGGAGATGTGGAGGGGCTACTAGTTCCCTAAAGCCCCCTGAGGCTGGGCCCCAAGCCCAGGTTAGAGCTGCAGGCCCTGGTGGCTGATCAGGTGGAGCCTCAGCCACTGGTTGGTCCTGATGGGGGAGCTGGGGCAGAAAGCAGATGAGGAGGGACAGGCGGAGGCCTGGTGCGGGTCCAAGGGGGAGCCAGGGACCAGGCTAAGACTTCCGGATGACGCTGTACTCTGTGGGCTCGGCGTGGTCCCTGCTGGGAATGTGGCCTGTGTTGCTGTAGGTGGGCTCCAGGTCCAAGAGGTCCAAAGACAGAGATGCGTAGGAAATCTCCTCCCGCGGGAAGGGGGGCTGCAATAGAGATGGTCAAGGAGATCTGAGGGGCTGGCGGGCTGGGACAGAGGAGCCCTCAGAGGAGGCCCGTGCAGGACGCAAGCCTCTCCAGTCCACTCCACGCCCTCCAGCTTCCCCCTGCTCTGCCAGGCTCCCAGATGAGCTTCAGCCACAACACAACAGAATCCCACCCCTGCCCAGGGCGACCGAGGGCACCCTGAGCCACGTGGCCTGTCTACCTCTCTCCTGCCCACGCGAGGACCCCAGTGGGTCTCCCTGGCCTCCCCAGGGCTGAGAACTCGTGTGAAAACACTTCTGAAAGCCTGGGCGGGCGTTCCTCAGGCCAGTCCTGCATCAACTGCGGCCCTGCCCAGCCCACCCTCCTCTGCTGGGCCCACGTAGGTACCAGAAAACCCATCCCCAAAGTGGGGCCCACAGAACGTCTGCCCCGCCCAGTCCCGCGGGAGTCCCCACAAAGGACACACCATGGTGACATATTCCACTTCCTCCTGGTCAGCCTGGGCCGAGGCCTTCTTCCGGGAGGAGCCGGGGGAAGATCTGGGCCGCAGCACGGACAGGTTGGCATAGCAGAGGTCCTCCTCCAGGGGCTGCAGCGCCAGGGGAGGGGACACAGGCCGAGTCACTGAGCAGCTTGTGGGCACAGGCTCCTATTCCACACGGGACATGAGCCTATCTGCTTCCCAGTGCCCCCCGGGTGCCCCCCACTTTCCCACACCATGGTGACATATTCCACTTCCTCCTGGTCA